CGAAGAAATATACCGTAATCAGCATTAGATTCATTTGGCGTATTTAGCCCAATCCTAAATGATTTTCAAACGACAACCCAAATGATCTCAGATTTAAGCGTAGAGGATTAAAAAAAAATATGCCGGAATGATTATTTTCATGTTTCCGATATACAAACACAGTAAAGTAAATGCGTGTAATAAACTAGAAAAAAATGGGTCGGCATACTTTTTTATACGTGGCGGTTAGATTACAGCAAATGAGAAATCGTTCGGGAACATATCTGCCATCTATAATCAAGAAAAAAAACTTTAGACTATCAAAAAAACTATAAGATAGCAAGATGCACGAACAACTATATAAACATATAAAGATATAATGACCATAACGCCGACTAAATTACATCAATTTAATTTGATTAATGAGAAACAGCTCTAATATATTTCCATGTACTAGCCCTTAGTACACCGCATATCTGACTCGTTCAAGATCGCTATTGGCCGATGTTCTGTTGACGTCACTACGTTTTAGCGGTCGCGCTCACTATCTATTTATTGGACTTGCATGTTACCAAGAGCTAATAATTATTATGATTAAGCTAGCTGTAATTGTATTATAAGGACACCTGGAGAAGGGAGGGAGATGCGAATGTGTGACCTGTCATGGGACACGCTGAGGCCAGTAGCAGCGGACCGACGACGTTTGAGATCTCTTGTCACTGCCTTATGTGCCATCTAGGCACCTACGAGGGATAACTAACTAACTAACTAATTGTATTATTAGTTATTGATATTACCTCTTCCCTTTTTGCCATTTCTATCACTTTATTTTCTGAGCGACTAGCAGATAGCAAATAGGGAACTCGTGTGGCTCTAGCTGTCTTAACTAAACACTTCCCCTCATAAAGCGACAGCGTTTACATTGCTGACTGAATCAAGCTGAGTGAACATGATCTCCATAAACATGGGCCTGAGAGCTGCCGATCTGGTTCACACAACACGGGTCATGGCTTCTCCTAATCATATACACTCACGATGTTACCACCGTATCACTATACCGTGACAGAATTGCCACGGAAATGTGAGCTGGTTTGCATGCTATGTACGTAGATAAGGCACGCACACGCACACGCACACGGACGCACGCACGCACGCACTCACACACATACACATTCACACACTCACACACATACACATTCACACACGCACGCACGCACGCACGCACGCACTCACACACATACACATTCACACACGATAGCACGCACGTACGCACGCACTCACACACATACACGCGCACGCACATACGCACACGCACGCACGTAGCCTCAGGGAAACTATCACGGATGCGCAAACACGTGCTGTCAGTGTTAGATCATTGATGCCAGCTAAGGGTGTTGGCTTCATTCGACTACACGCCTGCAGCTTGCTGGGAATAGACCACAGCAGCTGCGTAAACAAAGAATGAATCATCAGGGAGCCAACAATGGCCGGGGAGCAACAATGACCACAGATCACCGCTAACTTTATTATATATAATATTGCTATATATTATGTACTCCCATTATGTACTCTTGATATATATATATATATATAGCAATCTAGCAGCAAGCATCTATGGCATAGAGTCCTAAGCTCGTCGAACCCCACAAAAGTGTAGCGAAGTGGATCTACGTGCAGTAAAGACGGTCTATGCTTCCGCTACACACACGTGTGTCTAAAACCCACAATTCGTGTCTGGAAAGTTCCTGGTTGCTGGCTTTGTGGTCTCTCTGGTCTCGCATGATCGGCCGAGTCCTCGAATGATTTTAGTATGGTTTAATCCGCAACCCGACCAGTGCGTTATTGACCTATGCCGACAGTTATTTGCCGGCTAGACATCATAAAAGCGACTTTACGCGTTTCTCTCCATCAAGGATTTGTTCTGGCATCTATCTAGTTCGTGACTGCATACTAGGAGAATGATTACAGAATGATTACACTACATCGTCAGTACAGCGAGTTCATGTAAATCCATATATGCAAAAAGACGCATTAGGATCCAGGGTTTTCGTATAACTCAAGTTTGTTGCACATATCCGGCTTTTACTCAGAACATTTCCTGCTTTCTGAATAATGAAACTTAGTTCACAGTATGTAGCAGTGCTAGACCTAGCGGCGGGATTGAAAAAAGTTAACTCAAAATGTTGCAACAAAGATAAACGTAAAATGCAGTGAAATTAACATTAGGCGCATCGATTTTGATGGATCTGATACAGTTTCAGCTCGTGACTTGTACCAAAGACCCTATATACCATATACTATAAAGTATATAGGGTCTTTGCTTGTACTAATTAACAGTAGCCTTTGGGAATGTCCCATTTCCGTAGCTTTACACTTACGTATTCATAGCAGTGATTCTCGCTATTACACTACAACCAGTGAAATCGGATGTGCATGGAGCGTACAAGTACATAGTCTATACATTCTAGTTTATGAGAACGGGTATCACAGGATACTACTACTACTGCTGCTACTGCTACTGCTACTGCTACTGCTTCTACTGCTACTGCTAGTGCTACTGCTACTGCTACTGCTACTGCTTCTACTGCTACTGCTAGTGCTACTGCTACTGCTGCTGCTGCTGCTGCTGCTGCTGCTGCTGCTGCTACTGCTACTGCTACTGCTGCTGCTGCTGCTGTTGCTGCTGCTACTGCTGCTGCTGCTGCTGTTGCTGCTGCTGCTGCTACTGCTACTGCTACTGTTACTGCTACTGCTACTGCTACTGCTACTGCTACTGCTACTACTACTACTACTGCTACTACTACTACCAGGAGTAAGATAATATAGGATCTTAGGAACCTATAGGATATAGGAACCTATATTATCTTACTCCTGCTACTACTACTACTACTACCACTACCACTACCACTACCACTACCACTACCACTACCACTACCACTACCACTACCACTACTCCTGCTACTACTACTACTACGACTACTATTACTACTACTACTACTAGACAGACTTGGCAGACTACTACTAAAGAACACGAATTACACAAACTGGAAACGGCGACAAGGCACAAACCAATAAATAAAAACATCACGCAAACATTGCACAGCGAGAGTGGTTTCACCTGAAAGAAACCCACCACTCTAGAGAGGAACACCGATCGTTTAGAGGGCATGCATCAATCGTCGACACATGCTGCGTGCAGCAGCACTGCGGCCGCGTTAAGACAGCTGAGGCCAATTATCTCGAGCACTTTCCGCAGAATCATACCGACAATTACGAACAGGAAGAGCGATTTAATGCTGTCAGCTCACACCCAAGTCGTCCTTGGCTGAAATGCCAGGCACATCATGAATCGTGCGAATGCGAGTCAGTTACGCGAGTATAATAATAATAATAATCCCGGTGGGAAAGTAACAACAAACCCTACAACTAAAGCTACAACTAAAGCTACAACTAACCCCCGATACACTAGCTTGGGACACACTAGGCGATTGAGTCGGGTGACTGAGTCGACATACTAGGCCACTTTCAGCGCGATTCATCGGCGATTTTTCTCCCGCCGCAACACTAAAACACTTGCGCCACCTAGATTGATAGTCACATGATTGAAAATGGCACCGTTTGATTGGCTGATGAATTGTACATTCGGGCGACTCATTTGCCGGCCCGGACACACTAGGCGATTGTAGTCGCGCGACTCAAATAATCGCCCGATTTTATCAAACATGTTTGATTCACGCGACTCAGTCGCCCGACTCGAAAATCGCCGGCGACTCACTGAACACACTGAGGCGACTCAATCGCCGGTGGAAATTGCCTAGTGTGTCCGGGGCTTAACTCTACGAAACCCCTATCCTCAGAGCTGTCCTTCTAACTTCTCGATAGATGCAGAGCAATTATGTGAATCCGTGTTAAAGAATGTAGCGACATGAGCAGTAAGATGAGAAAAATCATCGACCGGTGATCACTTGCATTCAAAGCGATGTCCAATCGTCATTAGACGTCATTACAATCAGAAGTACGTGAAGAGACATTATTAGTACAGAAGCACATCTCCATTCATGTACTCCTGATAAAATCCAGTCATAAATAACATAAACACAAGGATATTATGTTAACAGCTACACGCACGCACGCACCAACGCACGCACGCACACGCACACGCACCACACGCACGCACACACACTAATAAAAAAGCATGTAGGAATTGATGCCGAAATGAAATAAACGAATAGAAATTGATCAGCCAATGTGTGTGTGCAGGCAGCAGCATCTATACACCATGACAGAACAATGTGTTACGTTATTATATGCTGCAATATTGCACATCCTTGTGGTAACATATAAGACACTACTCAGGCTACATTGAAGTGCTACAATGAAATGCTACACTTACGTGGATACATGCGAAACTATGGATTTAGAAAAGCTTTTCCTCCTACTATACACCCATATGGTCGACATGAGATAGGTATCATGACCAATCTTATGTATTAGTAAAATTGAGATCCCTGGAAAATCACATCGAGTAGAAAAATATGGAGCATTTAGCAGAGCATGGCTAATACACGCTGTATATTTGTCTAAGCACAAAGACCTATCGATAACTCAAACCAGCAAGGAAATGTAACACAAGTAACTGCGGTCGTTTACGGCTAAAATTGTAATGTATGCTACAGTTAATGCAGGTTATTTAGTTCCAACGAATCCCCAGACACCACATTTGATACCTCCTCCACTTGTGGACATATTTACAGCAGTACGTAGCAGTAAACATTACAAACCACAATCTCGCGCAGTATGAGTGTGTCACGGCTAAAGAGCGAATGATGCAGTGGCATTGCACTATGACACATGAACATATTTCAAGTACAGCCTGTATTAGTTCATCTTGCACTTCTCTTTTTTCGAACCCACACATATAACTAAATACGATTATTGCTTGCATTTAAATTCCTAGAAAGGCTGCTAAAGGTAATAAAACAAACACAGTCATGACCATGGAACTATCTATTTTAATAATTTCTCTCAGTTCAAATCGGATGTGAAGCAAACCCCATTAATTTATGTCCACATAATTTTTCAACATGCATAACGTGTGTCCATTTCAATCAGGCATCTGTAAAGATCTCATCACAGAGCTGAAAGTTCTCTTCAAACTTACCACCATACAACTATCAAAAACAATCCAGTTTAATATGACACAGTGATGTGCTGTGTTATCAAAGTTTATCATGTGTGGGAAAATGTTTTTAGGTGAATGCAGAACAAATGCAGAGTTCCTCTGCAACGAGGTTGTTCACAAAGTGTGGTCAAAGTTTCAAGCACTATTACTTCAAGCACACATACTGCGGCTCTTCCAAACGAAAACACTTGGTGCAAAGGTTCAATTTACCCGGCAGAAAACACGTACAGCAACGCTACCCACACTAGTATTTTTTTACATTGTTTAAATACTTGTCGGCAAAACACGTGAAAAAGCTGATTCGCCGAAGAGCCACAAAAACCACAAGTGAGCTAGCAACTCTATTTACAGATAGGCACCAACTACAACTACTGTGCTACTTTGCTGATCTCTGACTGCGATAAATCTATTTTTTAACGCTTGGCTATCAATAACCTGCTTTGGTGTAAGAACTTACCACCTCTCACAAACACTCGGGCAACATCAGAAGACTGCTGGTCATTGGTGTCTGTCACTGTCAAGCTAAAGATGTAAGCATCTCTCTCTAAATCCGATATGTGAAGAAACGGCGTATGAATCCCCTGAAATAAACACAAGCAATTACAAACACTGTGAGGTTGAGCACTTAATTTCATCAAAGCATTACAATGGCTTGCGACAACTTGCCCTTGTCATTTTAATAATCATGTATGCCAAAATTGACACCCGAAATTAGTTCCTCCTATGTATGCATATAGTTAGCAATGAAATAATGCCATACCTGCATTGTTACAGCTCCACCTTGAAGTTTAGCCCACAGATAGCTGACTATTCCATGGTCATCAGTACTTGCATTTCCATACAAAATCACAGGCTTAAGCTGCAGCCAATCTATGCTCATGTCCCTCTCTACTACCGCCACTGGCGGGTAGTCTAAACGGTTATCTGGAAGCATGAATAATATCAGGGGTAGATAATGACACATTTTATCTTCATTCGCATCAAACTCGTAAGACATAATATAGCGAAATCAGCATCGAATACGTGTCAAACCCCTTTGTCATTATCTACGCCTGATAATATCAAATAACTGAGAAATAATGCCACTCAGTGTGTATATCAATTCATAACATATAACGCAAAAATTCACTCTATCAGTATATATATATATATATAACTCAATTAATGACAATGTGTCATAAATATATGTTACTTTTGATTTCAAACTTTCACATCAAAGCCAAAACACATCTCATATCTTTCCATTCCACAAAATGTAGAATGATAGGGGTGGGACTACATATCATACATAAACCTCAACTGGCTGAATGGGAGAATGTTCTCTACATCTCATTTCCAAGTTAGGAAATGCATGGGTAACCAGCCATTTGAAATTGAAAATATAGATTTTTAATAGCAAGGTGCCACATTGAGATGATGGTAACAACAGTGAGTGGATAGCTGATTATATAGTGAGATTAATAACAAATGCCGGTGCCTATTACTTGTAAGGATCTGTTTCAGTTCAGTATTTTCACTACATGGGATGACTTAATCTAGTGGCACTCTGACAGTCACTCTGTGATACGTAAACCTATTAATTCAGGGTTTCTTCTGAGAGAAAATTAGACAAAGGAGGTAATGGCCAGTTTGGGAAAAAATGCATATGATGGATTCAAAGGTGTGCTGTAAGCATGCATGTGGATCAGGAGTGTATAATAGGGAGGAGTGTGACAACAATAAACAAGGGAAATTCGTCATTTACTAGCCTTATAATACCTACGATTTACTACGCGTAACTCATCCAACTTGAGCTCAAATCGGACACAGTACATTCGCCCATCATCGTACCAAATCGTTTCCTCGTAGACACCCGCAATCCGAAGATACAACCTAAAACATACGACACGATTCTCCAATCTTTGGCCATTAATCAACCGTAGAGCGCGCCTATAATTCAAACAAAAGGCAGCTACTAACCACACTGTCCACGGCTTGCGCTCACGGCGAGGCGCTGTT